ATAAGACTCCGAAATAGTGAGATTGCTATGTGTAACAGGTTATTTTATGAAGTTTATTATAATTTAAAAAATAAAAAGAATACATAACCTTATTGAAAAGCCAGTTAACAGTCTCAAATACTTAGATTTTTCAGAAGCAAGCAGATTTCTTGCTTGTTTCAGCCTTGTTATTTCTTGCCAAACTGTATATTTTAGTTGAGTTGTCTCTGGGACTTCTTAGCTCCTAAGCTGAAAACTGGAAATGAGACTGGCTTTGCAATTACGAGAAAAATGGAAAATTGTTTTGTTTGGATTTCAGCAAATTCAATTTAAGGTCAGATTTTTTTCTTTAACAATGTACACTCTATCTTTTTATTCCTAAAGGCATATTTTCAGCAATTTGGCTTAACTTTGTGGTCATGGGGGTGGAATTCTTTATCTTGGCTTGATATAAGCAAGCTTTCAGAGCATGTGTGGGTTAGTGTCTGACTTGGTGCACAGGAAAACACAATCTCTTTATCAGGTGGTTTCTGGTTCAATGAAAGAAGTTTTTGGTTGGGTTTCTTTGTGTATGACAGCAGCTTGGTAACTTTGGAGAAATAGCTCAGGCTTTCAATGAATAACTGTCCATTCCATTTAAAAAGTTAGGAGTCAATAAAAATCAACATTCTTGTGTAGCTAGCATGTTTCCATGGCAGTTTGAGAAAAAAACTCAAATTTAAATAACATGAGGACACTCTTGACATAAATGTTATGAAATCTTTCTCATGCAATGGATAGGAAAGGTAAAGGAGAATTGAGTATTTACCTTCTTACCTATATTATTCTGCAGCGTCTTGAAATCCTGTCAAGTTGATTTGTCTTGATACAATGAAAATAATATCTAGTTATCTGTCATATTAAAGAGTACTTTGATGCAAGGAATTTTTTTTTCATCATAGTTGAGACCTGAAGAGCAGAATGTGCTTTTTTGTTCTCTTAAAAATTTAGTCTTTGAATGCAGAGAGAGGAAGAAGTTTGGACACTAATCAATGTGAAGGCCAAGTCCCCAACTCAGTCATACTCAGTTACCCTGGGGTTTTGATAACTTCAAGAGTTGGGAAAATAAGACACAAAACTGATGTGTGAGATCAGCAAAGTTACAGTAATTCATTTAAACACTTGACTTAATCAGTGTTTCTTGGGTTCCCTTCCTGTAAAATATGACCTGTATTGTAATAACTTTTTTAATAACTGAAATAACATTTGAAGTGAAAGCTCAAATTCATTTTTTCCATGTGAACCTAGAAATTACAATTGGGCCTTTTTATGATTTGGTGATTGAGTAGACAAATGGTGCACTTCTTGGGTACCATAACAGTTAACACCTGTTTCAACTGTTTCATATTTGTATTGGATGGAACCTCAGCAATCCAATATGTCTTGAAAAGCAAAAATCTGATATAAAATATTTCATGGTATGGAAGAAATTACAATAAACAGAGTATAGCTTAAAATATAAAATGCTTGTTATGCACATTTACGTAGGTTTCATCTGTATTTCTGAAACCAATGTAGCCACCTTGTGTAAAAGTAGTCCTAGTTTTTCTGAGGGTTGGTTAAGTGATTATTCAATACCATAAAGTAAATACTGTTTTCTAAGAAAACAGTATTTCCTGAGTTGGCAGAAATGAAGCAGTTTGTCAGGGAGAAGTCAGGTACAGCTGGATTAATTAGCATTTGTTTTTGATTTCTCTCAAACTTGCTTTGGGGACAGGGACCACTGGCAGAAGGGTGGAGTGGTCTCCTATGGCACATACCAGGCAATAATGTCACTTCTTTATGTTCTTTGTTACTGGTGTGGTATTTTGCATTCAGTAATTTCAGAAAATGTGAAACTTTGTTCATTAAAATCTGAAAGCTTATTTCAAGTTTAGTGGAGATGGGCTCTATTGTACCTTCCATGCAGCTCAGGTACAGCACTGCTGGCCCCCTCAGCCTCCCACAAAAGGCTTTGTTGTCTCTGGTGTTTGGTAACTTGAAAACTTCCTGCTTTTCTGGATAAAGCTTGGTTTGCAAATCTAATTATTATTATGAAGATTACAAAAATAATTTGCCAGAGTGCCTTGTCAGATGTAAATATCGTGAGCTTCTTAATATGATATTTCAAAGCTGAAGTTTATTTTGAGAGTCAGGGTTAATGCTCTCAAGATTTGTTTAGAAAATATGATCTTGGCATGTGATGACCTAGGAGATTGTTTTTCCTAAACACGAATTCAAGTTTGCTTTTATCTCAGTTTATCTGATTTGAGGTAAACCTCAATGCCTTACTAAATTGCATCTGCTTGTAGAGAACACTGTAAATGATTTGCATTTTAATGGCTTCTGCATAAATTTCATAACTCTGGAATGCTTCTCTTGCTCATTTCCCTGCAAAAGATGCTGGGTTTGTCTTGCTGTAACAAAATCTGTTTAGCTTTTCAATTATAAGAGAAATGGATACATTTGCCCTTGCTTTTGGCTATTGCTACTCTTTTCAGAATTTTCAAGACTGCCTTTATCTACTTTAGAGAGCAGAAAGGCTTCAAGATAATTTCACATGAATCATAAACATTTCAGACACGTGTTGGAAGCTTTCTTAAACATAGGTGCTTGGTTTGGGAGTAAACATACATGCAAATGTAGGTTATGGTGGGTAGCATCACAAAATTCATAAACTACTAGTAGAATTTAAATTTCTTTAACTGCAATTGCTCCTCATAAAAACCAGGGGAAATTTAGGAAGTAAAAGAAAGAGTGAGTAGATAATTGGTACAAAGAGTTATATGATATGAGGAAGGAGGGAAAAGGGAGACAATAGCTGGAAAATAGCTAACCTCAAAAGAAGCATAATACATTGGTTTATGTAGTTTTTCTTCAAGTTTTTAGGCATTTTTTTTCTCTTTTATAGTGAAATATATTCTAAGTGTAACAAAATACTTTAAGGCACAATTCTGAGCATCTTTCCTTTATTAATGCATAATGGAGATGGTAATGACTAGATCACCTTAATATAGAAAAATGAGATATGATCAGATGCCTTTTCACAGCTATCAGGAGACCTGACAAAAGGGTTATCATAAAGCATCTTATGTGCTGAAAAACTCTGATGAAAGACCCTATCTTTATAATATATTGTGACAACTAAACCTACTCACTACTAACTAAAGGTTTTTATAAAGTGCCATCTGCTCCAACTTTCCTATTGTCTCTGCTGTTGTGGGGTTTTTTTCCTGTGAACCAATTTTGGGATGTTTTCATTCCCTCTTGTTTCCCACTTTGTCCGTGCTTGCTGGATTCTGTCTGTTGTGCCATCAGTTGTTGGTGGGGCCAAGCTGTAAATCTGGTCACCAGAATGATTCATATTAAAAATAAACCTACAATAAAAAGCTTGGAATCCTCTTTGTCAGCATTCTACTTAATGCCCTGCAGAGCATCACTGCTATTATCTTAAGCCATCTCTTGTTTGTATTCAGTTTGGAAATTATGCATTTGCAGCTGGAACAAAATCTGGGTATTCTCAAAACTGCAGCTTCAGCCACACATCTGTCACGTTCTCATCTCCAATTTATCTTGTGTACCCTCTGATTAAAAGCATGTTGGTCCCATGTTCCACTTGAAATAGAGTGGTGGTGCTCCTCCCTTCCCAAAAGCATTTCCTATCTATTCCTGAGCTAATGGAAAACATGTCAAGAAATGTGTACCTATCAAGGGGCTGCTTCAAGCAAGTTGTGTTTTTCTGCTTGTACCAGTAGCTTGTAAATCTGGAAAACAAACCTTCCCCAGCTGTTTTCTCTGCTTGCAGAAAACCTTGTTCTGGTGAATATGAGCCAGTTTGCTCTTCTCATAAAGACACCTATGGGTTTTGAAGGTGGGGAGGGTATTTTTTTTTTTTTTTTTCTCAGACTTGTGGAACTGGGGAGTCTGGAATAGCTCTGCAGCAGGATGAATGCTTGACAGCTTCATTTGCTGCCTCTGTTCTGTCTGCACTGGGGTTGAATCATGAATTTCTGAACGGTATTAGATAAAACTTGCTAGTGAGCTCTTCTCTGTGGTAATTAAGTGTTGTTATTGAGATTTTGAGAAGCTTATTTCAAATGTAGTGGCACTTCTTCCTCTGGGGTAGAAGTCATGCCTCCAGTCTGTATCTGCTCACTTGCATTTTGCTATCACATTGCATTAGCTGAGTTGACAGTCCCTTAAGAGTTTGGAATTGATTGTGTAATTGGAGGAGGGGGGCAGAACTGAGTAGTTGAAACATGGCTTTGAAGCCAGGGTGATGGGGTGAGCTCGAGGGGTCTGTTTTGTACATGAGAAATACAAAGTTGCTTCAGTAATCCTGTACCATTCAGGAAACTCTTCTCCACCCTTGGAGTTGTTTTTGAAGGCATCCCTTTCTCCAGGGAAAAGGAAGTTATCCTCTTTGTAATCAGTTTGAGCTACTGTGTTTTGAACTGCTTGCTAGTTCAACACAGACAAACTACAGCATAAGCTATGTGCAAACAGTTGTATCGTTTTAAGTGCAAAAATTTTTTAAATGAACTTGCAGTTATGGGTTTAAATACAAGTGGGAGATAATCCAGATTATTATTATCCCATTTGTATCCAGGTCTTGAGATCACTGAATAATGTGATAGTTGATACAGAAAATCCTGTGCTCTCCTAGCTTCCTTTTGATCCTGCTGTTCGTAGAATTGCAGGGCAAAGTATGCAGTGTGACTAAATTGTTACACTTAGACCGTGTGCATTTTGTAACTAAAATATCTACCAGTGGGTTAGAGCTTGAGTACCCAAATACAAAGGGCTCAGACTCTGTCCTTGGCAAGTGACTTGTGAAAGGTTAATCTGGGTATTGCTCAGCTGTTGACAAATGTTTATTGCATGAGAAAAAATACCCAGAGCTGTTATTTTACAGTAGCATGTACTCACTGAGACTTTCTATATGTAAGCCTGCAAATTGTCTCCTGTGTATTTAGTAACCAGATCCCACTTTTGTTTTACAGCTGCTGCAGAGGGCAAAGGGAAAAGTGGGGAAGACTTTTTTCAGAAGGTAAGAAAGATATTTCAATTCTATAACAGCACCTGACTAGAGAAAGAAAAAAAAACCAAAACCAATTATTCATGCATGTGATCAACTAATTAAACTTCATGCACAGTTTCCACCATATTGATCAAATTTTTAAAAATTTTGTCATTTAGTGTTTTCTTGCTACCAGCCATGCATGGAATGAGATGAGAAACAGGTTCTTTGGTGTATGCTCCTGTCATCTGTGCACAAAAACAATTTACCAGTTTTACCAATTACTTAGCTGAAAATGTTAAAATATGCATGATGAACATTTGTTATGCTTAATTGTTAACCCAAAAGATGTTGTGAGGTGGTCTTAAGCATGTTGTCTGTGGATAAATGCTGCATCCTGTTATTAAAATACTGCCTTGCAACTTAGTGTGATATTGTTGAAAGCATAAATATTTGGTTGAGAAATGCAATAGGCTTTTAAGAAAGAAATGCACAATAATCCACAAAATGATTCAACAAAGTTTGTGGTTGGACAGAGGCACGGAAGGACTGGAAAAGGGAGTCCTGCAGCAACTAAACTACAAAGTGAAACGTGGTCAAGAGTAAGGACTTGCAAATTGTTTTTACAAAGCAGCATAGTATTGGGGTTTTTTGTCTTTTTGTTTTTTTTCAAGAATAGTTTGAAGAACATTATTTATGAGTTATTTTAATGAAAATCTGCATGTTGCAGGCTAATAAAAATGATGAGCTGTTTTTTTAGTACAGAGAAGAAAGACAGTGCAAACTTTGCTGTATACTGAAATGCCTTGACACTCTTTTTTGACTCATTTTCCATTGAAGTAATTTGCTGTATTTTGCTATAATTTTAAGTGGTTGTTCCAGAAAGGAGGATGTGAAAGGTTACTTTACCCTGCATGTGACTGTGGGATGCCTTGATAAAGGCTGGTGAGGAGGAATATATATGCTGCCAAAATGTTTGGATTTTCAGATTTATGTTGCTCTTAACTGACAGTGAGAGTTGTTTTTCTAAATGTGGGGCTTAACTCTCTGATATTGGTGTGCACAGGGAAGAATGTGTCAATAGTGCCTCCTTAGGATTTTATCAAAATACTTTGAGGTTTTTTTACTTGCTGAAACAAAGCTGAGCCATAGTAGCCTGTGCTATATTCTACACATTATTCATTTTACCACGGTGTTTTCTCTCTTGTAGATAAATCTGCTCATAATTCCTAAAGGTGTGGATAAAATATTTCTTCTTGAGTTGCTTATCTGTTTGACATGTGTATTTGATTGCTTGATTATTTACTGTAGATATGATGTGCCTTACAATTATGTAGTCACTAGTGCAATAGCAGAAAATGCTGCGTTGAATTTAAGAGGAAAGCAAAATATGCTGTACCTCAAGTATGTCAATGAGTGCACTCTTTACTTACCCACACTGATGCTGCAGTGGCTATCCTGGCATTTAGATCTTGTCATACTTGTGCATAATTATTATCTAGGCACAGTGCTGCAATAGGTTCAAGCTGCTTCATTTTAACTGGCATTCTTCTTAAAATATCACCAACTCCACAGTGTAGATTTCTGAAGTTTCTGAGCACATACACACAATGCTACAACTAATAAAACCAGATGGAAACTATCTCCTTTGAGCTCTCTTTTGTTGGAAGAAATCTCTGGACAGTTGCTCATAGCTTACTCACCATCTCTGTCTGTGCAATTTCCTTTAATCAGAGTTAAATTTTTCCCCTCTCATGTGAAATGAATAAGGCAGAGTATGTGGAGGTAAAATGAAGACTCATTTCATGTGTTTCAGGTTGGTGCAGTGAGGGAGAAAGTGATTTGTGGTATTAGAAACACATTGCCAATGAAGGCAGCAGGACACTCCCAGAAACTCAATATGAACTCCAAGCTGCAGCAAAGACATTTTTGTAAAGCAGTTCAGATAATGAGACTTCAGGACATTATTGGCAGGATTTTGAGTGGAACAGGGAGGGAGAAGTGCATCCTTGAGTGGCCACATCTAGAACATGAGGGCTTTATTTGCATGAATAATGCCACGTTTGGTGTGTTCTGATGGACTGCCCTCAATGTGCTGAGGTTGGGAATGGCTTTGGAGGTGGAAGAAGTTTTCATAGGAATGCTGAAATGGCAAATGACAAGACAGAAATTCAGGAAGGTGATTCTGTATGTCAAGGCATGCAGACCAGGAGGGAGCAGAGAGGAGGCTGTGCCTGGGGGGTTGGCAGGGACTCAGCCTGCATCGTTAAGCTGCAGAGAAGCTTTTAAAGAAAGTTAATACAAGGCTTTGGTGCTAAGCAGTCTTTTGCTGGTCTTCAAACATGTGAGAAAGCAGTATTACTTGGGTTTTCATAATCAGGCAGGATCTCAGTGGATGTGAACTGTGCCTACCAACTTTCAACTTCCAGAGTTTAATAACAATTTAAATGTCAATATGCATAATTTCACTGAGCATTTTAGCAGAAACAAGCATGTGTAATGCAGTTGCTTGTGGAGCTACAGAATGAGCCCAATTCTTGGTGAAAATCAGGCAATTTTTCTGCCCTGTGGTGGCAGGGAAGATCAGGTGAAGACATTCCCCTTCCTCTGGTCCTGAATTGAAGTGAGAAGTAGATAAAATGTCTTTTGGTAGTGTCATTTTTAAGAGTCTGAAAACTTTATCATACTTTCTTCTAATGTTTCTAAGTTGTAGTACTGCTTCAGATGAGGGAAAACCTACCATCATCTAATGAGGATTTTTCAAAACCACTGGGAGCTACGAATAATTTGGCAAGAAATAAGTAAATAATGGCATGGTTTTCTGTGTAGAGCTCTTGGATCTGCAGTTCAGTAACAGGTAATCCTAAATAAGCATGGATTGCTCTGCTGTTGTGTTACATACTATTTATGTAAAAGATCCTCGTGGGTCTTGCTCTCTAAATTGTTTTTCTTATTTATTCTGTGAGAGGAATACATAATATGAAGTTATTATATGTCCTTGATCCAGAGCCCATTTTCAGTTGATGGTGGATTTTTTCCACCAAGTTCCACAACATCTGGTTCACGCCTCATAGGAAGCAAGGCCCTTTGCCCAGCAAAGCCAGGACATTGTTCCAGGGAACAGATAATTTATGTAGCCCTAAATTATCTGTTAGGTGTGTGGCACTCTTATATAAAATGTAAGAAGGTGGTGATTCTCTGTCCTGAAGAGTTCATAATCCAAAACAGGTGAGGGTTGGCCCTGTGGACCCAGAGGAATGTCATGCATCATTTTGGTTTGCTTTTAGCTCTCTCATCATCAAGTTGGTTTCTTTTCTTCTTTTTAAACATTTGGGAATCTCAGTGCTGATGGTAATCTTTCATTCTGAAACTTCTTTGGACAGAAGTGTATCTGTAGCCTTCTCCAGGGCCTGTGAGCAGAGCAGGGTGGGTGATAGGTGAAGGCTGTGGCTTGAGTGGAATTTGGGTGGAGTTCTTGGGACCATGTGGGACTGCACGTGCAGAAGGTGGTGACTGGAAACGATGCATTCATGGTGCTCTGCACAGGTCACATCCAAGCTCTTTATTTCAGTGTTATTCAGTGTGCATGTGTTAGTGTGAGCTTTGGGAGTGTGCCTGGAGGGGCTCCTCAGCTCTGGCTTTCCTGCCTTTCAGAGTTCATTTGCAGAGCTTGGTTTTGTAGGAAGCACTAAACGCTACCAGCCAGCTGTAACTTGTGTGTTTTACTGGTCCTGAGTCTTGGACATCCTTTTATGTTTTGTGTTTAGGGTTTCTTCTGTACCTTTTTTAAGCAAACAGAAGTGGTGTTTGCATGCATTTGCCCAGTTGTGGATACTTAGGGGTTTTTAAGATATCTCTGGATTTAGGCAAAAAGTGCTAAAACACAAGCATTTAAATGCTTGTGTCTCTCTCACTGCAGAGTCTGTTTTTCCCTGAGGGAGACATAAGTGTGCTTGGAGCTGTGAAGTTGCAACTGGGCAAAAGTTTCATGTGTGTACCAAAATCTCTTCTGTTAGTTATGAGGAGCTTAGGAGTGCAAAGGAAGACGAGTGGTCTCTTTTCATTTTCCTTCCTGTGCTTACATCGAGCATGTTTAAACTGTAGCTTTGAATTTTATTAAATAATTAGCACCATGGAAGTTACTGTGACCATTTTGGAAGCAATGTGGTGAAACCATCCTTTAAAAACAGGTGGTCTTTCAGTCCAGGTATCTGGAAACAGTAGTAGCAAGAGACTAAGAAAGAAAACAAAGAAATGCCCAACCAAAGCCAAAAAATAAACCCCTGTGATTATTTGAAGATGTGAAAAATAGCTATATCTCACTGCATCTTTAATCATATTTCTGTTAAAGTCCTTTATGCAGTAGTTATTAATGATTGTGCATTTTTATTTATTTAGGAGGCTCTGGCAGCAAAGGCAGCAAGGAATCTTCCTCAAGCCCTGTTTGCTTATCTAAGACAGTAAAAAAGCTTGGTTTGCAACATCCTGTGTTTTCACTTGTATCTTTGAAAAATATCTTTTATGTTGTTCTGGGACAAACCTAATTGTTGCAATATTCTTACACGTGAATATATTAATACAGTGTTGATGTATGCATTTTGTAAGCATAGGTAGTATATTCTGATACAAATAAATTTAATTTTCTCTTTGCAGTAGGTCAGACTGGAAGTGGATCAGTCTCACTTTTTAATCTCTGAACATGAAGCATATCTAGAGCTTCAAATGCAAGTGGCTTAGGGCATTTTCAGGCATTAAAAATATTAATCATTGACCTGAAACTAAGATGTCTCAAGCTAATCATTACCCACATTCAGGACTAACTTCTGGAGGGCTTTTCATGTGTCTTCAGCCATGACTATTCCCCAGCTGCCTGTTTATAGCTGTAGTTCCCCCAGGGCTGTGTTTCCATTGCTGATGGCAGCCACTGGGCTCTGAGTTTCTTGCAGTGTTATTTATCTGGTGGTGAGACCTCGTGAGCTGCTGGTGATCAGACATTAGCGTGGGTCTCGTCTCTGTTTCAACCACAGCAG